GTCACCCCAGAACATGCTCTGGGAGCCCGTTCCCAAGCTCTGCGAGCCAGGCTCATGCTTGGCTTCCCTCAGAACTAAGTGTGAGTAGGAGGGTGCTGAACGGGGCAGAAATCAAGATACCTCTTAGAAATGGTGATCCAGGGCCTCAGAACTGGTGACAATCTCACAGGATCAGTTCAGCTGAGTAGGAACCAGAATCCTCCTCCAACAAAGCAAGCAGTTCTAGGGGGCTCCTTGCCTTAGGCATCACAATGGCTGGGAGAACGTTCCCTGCCAAGCTGCAGTGCACAGGATCTGTTCCCTGTGCCCCAATGGACACGGCACTGCTGCAGCAAGCCCAGAACAGGTTACAGAATTGGTGAGGGGACTGGAGCTCCCCTGTGAGCCTGAGAAAGGGGGCCTGTTCAGCCTGGAGGGGAGCAGGCTCTGGGGACACCTCACAGCCCCTTCCAGTGTCAGAGAGGGACCCTTCACCAGGAGCTGCAGGAGAGGGCAACAGGGAATGGCTGCACACTGACAGAGGGGAAATCTAGGTTGGATATGTGGAATAAATCCTTCCCTGTGAGAGTGGGCAGGCCCTGGCACAGTGCCCAGAGCAGCTGTGGCTGCCCCTGGATCCCTGGCAGTGCCCAAGGCCAGGCTGGACACTGGGGCTGGAGCACCCTGGGGCAGTGGCAGTGTCCCTGCTTCTGGCTGAGGCCTGACAGGGCAGAGCCCAGGAGCTTCAGGTGTTTCTGCTGACTCTGCTGTGCCCCTCTGAGGAGGGTGCTGCAGCTCAGGGCCACCCGCAGCCTCTCTCCCCAAGTTCAGCTGGTGCACTGTGACAGGAACAAGGTTGGGTTGATAGGTAGTGGTAAATCCACTCAAATCAAGCTCAAAAGTGCAGGTGTGGCTTACCTGGGGTGTGGCAGTGGGTATCATTGCTTCCCTCCTGCCTGCTGGCTTGGACACGTGCTCCCATGTCTCGTGGAGGGACTGTGCAGTCACCCCATATAAAATGGGTGCTGCATTGATCTTTGTCCTGCCCATGAAAATGGGAAGTGTGATGGCACAGCTGTACCTGTGCCTGGCTCTGGTCCACCTCCTCACGTGGAGCTGCATTAAACCATGTAAAAGGGGGCTCAGAGAGGTTTGGAGTGCCCATCCCTGGAGGTGTCCCAGGAATTCCTGGAGGTGGCACTCGGGGCTCTGGGCTGGGGACAGGGTGGGGATGGGCACAGCTGGGACTCCATGGTCTTGAAGGCTTTTTCCAGCCTCAGGGATTCTGTGATTCTGTAAATGGAGATCTTAGAAATAAAGCCCAGCGAGCAAACCAGAGCACCATGAAAGACAGCAAACATCTGTGTAAGAACCAGCTGGTGTTTCACTAACTCGCACAGCAGGCAAGCCCAGTCAAGACTTCCAAAGCACTGAAGATAACAAGAGGCCTTGCAAAATGGCTTCTCACAGCCTCTCCATAAAGGTTTCCCAAGTGTGCTCCTGTCTCCTCTTGCAGAGTGCAGAGAAATTGCTCCATCCCCAGCGAGTTCTCTGCTGAGTGGAGCACACGCACATCAACTCGATTTTAACAGGTCACGGAATAAGCCGGGCATTTAAAAATATCCACCTACCCAAAAGGACAAATGAATCCGTATTGTGGAGCCCTCAGCAAAGATGGTTGGAACAAAACAAACAAAACAATCCTGGTAATCTTTTAGGGAAGACTTATAATGTAGAACAAGTTGTCAGTGCGGGTTAAAGTTTTAAGGCCTAGCAATTTTGACAGCGTCCCTCTGAGCACAGCGAGCGCGCGGGGACGAGCAGGACAGCAAAAGGTCACTTGGTCACACATATCTGCTGCCTCTCTGAAGTTTAGCTCCAGACCCACTAGGCACGTCCCAATTAATTATTTAAATCTGCAGGGAGAAATATTTCAGTGGATGAAAAGGCACAATGTGGAATTGCAGGGAGGTACAGGATGGCTGGCGTGGTCAGAATGGTGCTGAGGGAAAACGGGGCGAGGTATCCCTGCCACGGGACACGGAGAGCAGCCACTCCCACCCAGGAAGGCTGACTGCTCCAGAGACCAGCCTCCCAGGGATTTTCCAATATCCCTTCTTTTTCAGTGGAATAGTTCTGGATCACAAAAGGTCACTGAAACCAAATTGACAATGATACATGTGGTTATTTAGAATAACTTTTCCCAGCACAATTATTGATGATGCTGCTGGCAATCTGTAAGTTCCTTATAAATTCATGGACACCCTGAAACTGTTCGTCCCAGATCCTGCCTAGAGTGCCCAAAAAGAAAGCTATCACGCAGGCAATGCCAGGGAAATGGGCATTGGAAGCAAACAGGAGACTCAAATCCTGGATTTACTCAATATGAGATACCAGGCTGGGAATTTTCAGGTCGTTGTATATGTCTTTGAACAGGTTTTCTAAGCTTTCCTAATCAATTTAATGAAGAAAATACCTGGATAAACAGCAGACATGTACACTCACCAGGGCTGGTTTTCATCTGTCATTGTCTGAGAGAAAAAAATAATACAGCACAATTCTGAAGAGCCTTTTGCCTTGCTTTTGCTGAACACAGTTTGTCACTCCAGCACATGTACACAAAATAAATTTAATAGTTTTTTTTTTCATATTTCCTGCCACAACAAAGCTCCTTAAACGTTTAAAGAGAAAATAACTACTTTTGACCAGTCCAAGCAGTCTTGCTTTCTAAAAGATACTGTTCTTATTCTTTTCCTTGCCAAAGGAATTCATGTTGTCCATCAGACCTAGCTGGGCCATTTGCCCCAGAAAAACACGATGCTCCACATCCCTTCCTTCCATTCCCTCCTGTGCTGCCACTGCAGGGAGAGGCCAATTAATTATGGTGTTTGTTCTGCCACAAATAACGCGGCCCGTGACCTTATGCTTTCAAAACTGCAATTTTTGCATTTGTTTCTGTGGCTCGGATCTCGATGGGACAGCAAACAATCAGACATAATTACAGTGATAACACACCATAACAGAAAAACCAGCCCCTTTGCCTCCCTCGGCCACACGGCGCTGGATTTATCTGCTGCAGGGCAGGGGAAATAGCTGACCAGCAGCAGCAGCTCCTGCTCGGTAAGCTGGGCACGGGGAAAGCCGTGGGCTGTTCCTGCAGGGACACCCGACACCACAGCCCAGGCTGGCAGCGATGGAAGTGCCCCACCACAGCCACCGCTGAGCACCTGCCTGCCCTGCATCCTGCTGGAAAACCCCAGCAGAGGAATTCTGCATCTGTGTCCGGCCCTTTGTCGCAGCTCTCCTGCGGCTGTCACCACCCTTGCTCCTCACAAAGACATTTTCCCGAAGACAGATTGGCAGGAAACATATTTCTGAAGGTATGAACAGATTTTCTTCTTATGATACATAACTTTGGCACACAGTCAGGAAACGACGGTGATCTTTTTCCCCATCTTCCCTTGCTAATGAAGAGAAACTGCCTCTGGGGTTGAGGACAAAAGGTGAACTCTCCCTGCACACAATTTACACCTGCTGAGCACATGATTTCGGGCATCTGAAATTCCTGTCTTGGCAGGTGTCCCGGGGACCAAGCCACACGCACGGACACTTACTCTGGAGGTAATATTTTCATCCAGGCATTAAATAAAAAACAGACTTGAGAGGGATGAATTTTGCAACACTTTCAGGCATCTCATTTTTTTACTTAACCTTGTAAAACTCTTTCACTCTTCAAACTTATGAAGCCCAACCCTAAACAATCAGTAACTAAGATAAAAAGACTGTAGTAGTTGAACAGAAGCCTGAAGTAGGGGAGAGAGCAGCCCATCCCTGTTTATTGGTAGCTGCCCTGTGAAGGGGGGCAGAACCTCCCCTGGAAAGTGAAATTGCTTGGGAAATGTACGAAGTTTTCACTTTCCCTTTATGAGGAGAGTAGTACAACGCTCTCATTTTCTACCCCACTGAAGATTTTGCAGGTTGGAAAAAGCTGATGAGACACAGCAGTGCTGGGGTGCAAAAAATGTTCACTTGGAAACCGGCTACAGATACGTTTTGTGTTCCTAAACTGCCCTGTATCAAAATTCAACATTTGTCATGCATGAACACTGACAGTGCAGCTACATGTGGGTAGACAACAACTTTGAGGGGTGGGGGAAAGGGGATTCTCCTAGCTCTAACAAATATTTGTCAGAGATGGATGAAACATCTAGTGCCATGTTGGAACACATAGATGGGTAGGCATTCACATCCAGAACATGTGTGTTGGATCATGCTGAAATAATTTGCAAAAAAAAAGTATTTAATTTTTTTGTGTGTGTGTGTATCCCAATTATTCTTCCTTTGTGCTCCAAAAACCACACACCCTAAAACCATATCCTTAGAAAACTATGAATCATTGTCTGTTCCTTTCCCTTTTATTTTCAATTCTTTCTCTTCAATTGACAGCTTCCAAGCCGGGAGTATCTACTAATTCCAGCTGCCACTCGAGATCTCAGCCCCTTTTAAGAGCAGTGATGTTCCTGGGGTAAACACTGCTCCCATCACCAGTGACTGAATATCACTGACTTTGCAGAACTCATGAAATCCAATCCTCGCACTTGTTTACTGGCTTGAAATGACACCTAGACAGCTGAAGACCACGATCAGCCCCGCGGGCGGCGGAGCCGGGCCCCACGCGCGGGCCGGAGGCCCCGGTACCGCCTCCGGCACCGCACGGGCGCGGCCCCGGGGAGGGGCGGCCATGGGCGGCGGCCCCCCTCACGCAAGGCCGGGGATGAGCAGGCCGCGGCGGGCCCCTCCCCGCGGCCCAGGCC